CAATAACTATCAGAGTATCAAGCTCCTTAGCCATACTATGAAAATCTGGGAGACGGTGGTAGAGCTAAGGGTGAGGAGGAGTGTGTCTATTTTCGAGAACCAGTTCAGATTTATACCGGAGCGCTCGACTACAGAGGCCATTCACATTGTTAGGAGATTGATGGAGCAGTATAGGGAGAGGAAGAGGGACATGGATATGGTATTTATTAACTTAGAAAGGCGTACGATAAAGTCCCGAGGGAGATTTTGTGGAGATATTTGAGGTGTACTTATTGCCTACATTAGGGTGACTAAGGACATGTATGATGAAACAAAGACCCGAGTGAGGACGGTGGGAGGGGACTCGAACCATTTTTCGGTCATGATGGGGTTGCACCAGGGGTCGGCACTCGACCCTTTTTTGTTCGCCCTGGCAATGATGTTCTGACGCGTCACATCCAAGGGGAGGTGTCGTGGTGCATGTTATTTGCAGATAATATTGTATTGATTGACGAGATGCGAGGTTGTGTGAACACGAGGTTAGAGGTGTGGAGGCAGTCCTTGGAGTCTAAAGGTTTCAAGCTAAGCAGGACCAAGACAGAATACTTAGAGTGTAAGTTCAGTGGTGAGACTTATGGAGGGAAAGGAGAGGTGAGGTTGTACTAGCAAGTCATCCCTTGGAGAGAATGTTTTAAGTACCTTGGATCTATTATACAGGGGGATAGGGAGATTGATGAAGATTTCACACATTGTATTGGGGCGGGATTGATGAAATGGAGACTCACTTCCAGTGTTTTGCATGACAAGAAGGTGCCACCAAAACTTAAAGGTAAGTTCTACAAAATGGTGGTCAAACCGACTATGTTGTATGGGGCTGAGTGTTGGCCAGTCAAGATCGTCCATTTCCAGAAGATGAAAGTATCATAGATAAGGATGTTGAGATGGATGTGCGGGCACACTATGATAGATAGGATTAAGAATGAGGTTATTCGCGACAAATGGTGTGACCCCTATTGAGGACAAGATGCGGGAAACGAGACTTAGGTGGTTTCGACATGTGAAGAGGAGGAGCACAGACGCCTGGGTGAGAAGGTGTGAGATATTGACATTGGAGGGCCTACAGAGAGGTAGAGGTAGACCGAAGAAGAAGTGGGGAGAGGTGATTAGGCAAGACATGACATAGCTTTAGCTGACCGAAGATATGACCCTTGATAGGAAGGTGTGGAGGTCGAGGATTAGGGTAGTAGGGTAGGTGATCTATATTGTTCATACCGGTAGTATTAGTACGCACTCTCGCATTCTGTTGGTAGCAGGTTTCTATGACTACCCGTTGTTTTTCTTTCATTTTGATCATCTTATTATCGTATTGTATTTATGCTGCTTTTACATGATTTTTTGGTGTTATCCTTTTTTGCCTATCTTTTCACTAATGTGGTGATTATGCTTTCCTGAGCCGATGGCCTATTGAAAATAGCTTCTCTACCTTCACAAGGTAGGGGTAAGGTCTGCGTACACACTACCCTTCCAAACTCCACGGTGTGAGATAATATTGGGTATGATATTGTTGTAATCAAAAGTAAATGCATAAGTTTAAATTTTTTTAAATATATTTTGATACGTGAAACACGCTCAGTTAATATTGAAATTACTTCAAAAGCAAGAAAGAATACCAAATGAATTGATAATTTTTACAAATAAATAATCCTAGGAATTTGTTATATACTCTGCATCAACTTTTAATAATTTTTTTTTGTATTACCAAACTTAAGTATATCTTTAACTTTTCACTTTATTTTTCTATCAACTGTGTAAATAGATTTTTGAGTGTTCATTATTTTATTTTTTTCTGATATGACCAATTTTCTTATTCTAAAATTTCTTATTATGTTCATTTATTTCATTATCAAACGTCATTAACTCATATTCTTAATAATTATTATTTACTTATTTTTCTAAAATAATATCTTTTGTTTCATATGTAAGTCCATAATATAAATTTAAAAATTATTATATTACTAAAGAAGAAGAAAGGAATAAAAGTTAATATTCTAGAGGGTAAAATGGACATTAAAAATGTCAATTAAGATATAAGGGGAAATTGCTTATTAATATAAGTTGGAGAAGGAGTTTTATTTTTAAAGTAAATTTGGGGGTGTAAAATGTTTATTAATGCAAAGCATTTGCCAAATGCGAATTATAAGTCATATTTAAGTCGAACGCGAATTCTAGTTTTTCCTCCCAGCAAAAGAAACTCAAACCCTTTCCATCTTTTCTTTATCTCACATTTTATCATCATATCCACTCAATTTTCCCGTGAAATCATACATATCTATAGCCTACCTATGATAAAATCTCAAACAATTCAACCATAAGCCTCAAAATTTCATACTCCTCCATATTAGCATTATCAAGAATGAAATCACTCATTTTTCTTAATACTTTCAAGACCGACGACAACTCTTTATCTTTCTGTTTCAATCTCACGAACCCATTTTTGTATGCAGGAGATAGGACGGTGCGTAATTTAGTAAATACGAATTATCATATCGGGAACGAAAATTTTGGTATTTGGTATAGTATTTGGTTTAAATTTAAAAAAAATAATGGCATTAGGTATGATATTCGATATTTAAAAATAAAATACCGAAATACCGATATAGTATCGAAATATATACTAAATAATACACATATTATTAATTATAACATAAATATTAAAGTTCTAAATTTTACTTTCCGTTATTTTTATAGTTCTCTTTAACCTTTACCACTTTTTTTTCCCCACTATACTTGTCTTTCCCTCTTTTCTTTGATTACCCACTTACGTTTTAACCTTTCTCCCATCTTGGTTTAGTATTTTTGATTTCCATTTCCCCCCCCCCCCCACTATGTTATAATATTTTTATTTTTGTATATGTGAGTACCTTACTTAAGAATATTACAGTTTATGGCTTTATGCACTCCTTAATATTCGAGTCGAACAAACTGAAGCTACCAGACTGAATAAATCGAAATCGAAAGGACAAAAGTCGAATCATACCGAATTTAATTAGGTATGATATCGGTAAATATTTTAAGAAACCAAATACCAAGAATACCGAGCCGAAATGTCTAATATGGGTTTTTAGTACTTTTAAAAACACCGTAATTGCTAATACACCTACCACATTTTATCTTCCATAAAATAATTCATAAATTATTGCATAACTTGATTGTGATTATTATTTAATATCATCAACCAAAACCGTAAAATAATAAATAAAAAAATTATTATTATACATCCAACCAAATGCCATATTAGTAATGGTGAATGCTGAGATTACTTTTTTCAATCCCTCTTTCTAACTTATGCTGGAACAACCAAACGACTTCTTGAAGTAGTCCAAATTGTTCTACATATGAATAATTAAGTTAATTTCTAGTGATAAGTGAGGCTTGCTAAGTTGGTAAAATCACTTTTGCCTACGACTATTAGGTCCCGAGTTCGAGTGGAAAGTATGAAAACACTATAGATTCTACTAATTTGGGAGGGATTTAAAAAAAAAAAAAGTTAATTTCTAGTGTTTCATAGAACTTTAGAAGTTCATCAACAAACGTGATTTTAGCTTTATTTTTAATCTTAAAATAATCTATTTAAAAAAAAATAATGAGCACGTGTATTGAGCGTGACACAATCCTAGCACAGATTCTCCGCTATATAGTTAATTCCGCACTCAAAGTTTCTACAGTAAGATGGATAAAAGCAACAGAAGGCTATTTTTTGGACAGTGCGAAAAGGAAGCTCTTCAACTTGAACAAAAGTGAGAAACGGTAGAGAATCGATTCAGCTTACTCTCACCCTGCTGTTTCCTCTGTTTTCAGACGGTACGTTTCTTCGTTGTTTCCGTTTTCTACTTTTTCTCAGTCTAGAAGTTTCTTCATTTTTCTTCTTTGATTTTTAGCTGCTCTCAACCAGATAGTAGCCATGATTGGGTTATGTAGAAATATGATAATAGCTGATTTGAGTGATGAGCTAACTTAAACATGGAAGGGTCATGGCTGCATTAACACATCGATCGGCTACATTTATTGTTTCTGCTTTGATTGTTAGCATATAGGACTTGACCTCATAACGTGCATGTATCCGATTTCGCTGAAGCGCAACCCTAGAAATTGAAGGGTCATGCCTACATTACCATCTCTGGAAGACAAAATGTTACTTCATTAATTATAGTATTAAAAATTACTAGGTGATTTCTTCGTATCTGTACAAGGTAGACATAGTTACTTAGTATTTGTCCTGGTGAGAGATGGCAAATACCAGGTGTAATAGCTGAGGTGCGCAGAAGCTGGCCCGTACACCACCATCATAAAAAAAAAAAAAAACTTGACTTTTCATTCTTTTTTGTTTTTCTTTTGAGCTTTTGCAGCTTTATACATATCAAGATTTGGACAACAAAGTTAGTTGATCTGTTCTTGAGAATACAAAGTAGTCGAAAGAATTTGCAAAAGGGAAATGGACCATCTATTTGAATTTTAATAAATTGCCTAGATACTGTTACATCATTCTTCTGGCTTTAGTTGGCATGAACATACTTTTGACATCTTACTATGCCTTGGTCCACCCTTTCTCCCATTTTTTTCTTCTAAACTTAAAGTTTTAGCTGATATTTTCGTGAGTTTCATATACTATATAGGAGTTAAAAGTTTCTGGGGAGACATACTCTGTACTGGGAGGAGATGGGATGCGAGAAGGAAGCATCTGATGAGTGCAAGCAAAACAGCCTCTTGTTTCATGGAAAGAGGGTTTCTTCTTTCTTTAAAGTGATGATCGACAAAAGTTTCCGCAAAATTCTGGTAGAATGTGATTTTTTCTTTGTTTGCTTACTTTCTTAACTTAGTTTAAAGTACTCGTTCTAAATGTACTGTTGGTTTTGATAACCATATTTGCAATTTCCAGTCATTCTTGAAGTTATATGTCTATTTTTTTATGACATCCTTTTGCTTAATATTTTGAAGACTAATCTTTATTTTTACTATTAGTTTTTTCTCATCAATGTAGTTAAAATTTGTGAAAGATTAAAGGACTGAAAAAGCATTTCCCAAATATGAACTTTAGCGTACCCTTTAGGTTCATGATTGTACTCTATACTATTTTCCGCTGTATCCCAAGATGTCTTAGGAACTCAATCCGTCAATCGTCAATCTTTCAATGGAAGAAACAAGGCTACAACACCTAGCTAACTAGCAGGCATCAAGTTATTAATTAAAAGACCTTTTCTAAGTTTTAAATGAGGTAAATGAACTCAAGTTATTTTTAATTGGTGGATGACCCTTTATTTAGATTAAAGAACAAAAAAAAAAGGAAGAAAAAATGTCGATTTTTGTTTTGTTCTTTTGTCTTTCCATGTTTGGATTAGTTTCAATTAAATCAACCAGTAGTCGTTCTTATCAACTACCTTCTTGGTCGATTATCACCCTATTGTCGATAATCAACCTCCTTCTTGGTCCTTCATCAACCCATGATCACTAATCCAACTTTCTTGCCAGTCGATTATCAATTAATTCTTGGTGGATTATCACCCCTATTGTCGATAATTAACCTCCTTCTTGGTTGTTTATCAACTCGTGGTCGCTAATCAACCTCCTTCTTGGTCGATGTAGGTCATTTTCAACCTCCTTCTTGGTTATTTATCCATGATCACTAATCAACCTCCTTCTTGGTCAATGGAGGTCATTTTCTTAATTTCAATCTTACGAGAAGAAAATAAAGGTAAACGAAAATGAAAGTCATTTCCTTAATTGAAGACTTACGGGGTCCTTTCAGTTAAATCTTCTCAAGATTCTGATATTCTGGACATGTCCATGTAGTGTTTCAGTTTATTCATCCCCTTGTATCTTCAATCCTTCTTGTCATATACTAAATTTAACTCCTCATAATCATCCTGAATCTATACATTAATTCTACTTCTGCAAACGTGGCTGAAAATATATTTTTTACTGGAGCTTCTTTCTGGGTGTTTTGACTAACGTGAAACGCCTCTAGATCTTTTCTTTTCCTCATATGGAAGGCCTTCCAAACACTCCTAAAAAATTAAAATAGCATATCAGCGTATTTAAAGCAATACGCTGCACAGAAAACAGTTATGGTATTGAACCTCATCCTTACATGCCCTTTGAGATCGTAAAATCAGATTCTTACTTGATTCTAAAGAGGGATTTTAGCAGATTCCTTTTAACTCAGAAAGTCAAAGCTAAAGAATATCCCTTTGGATCGAAACTGAACGAGGCGATAAACAGTTCCAGAAATGATAAACTTTGACATAGTTAGCAAACTACAGGATTATTAGGACCAATAAACACCGGAAAAGTGGTTAACTTATTTTAATGAAAACAAGGTCTTGCTTATGTTCAGAGCTTCTGACTAAATTTCATTTGGGATAAGATTTGAACCTTTCCATTCTGAAATTAACAGATTAATGAAGTACAACTTAACTGATAAAATTTCAAGTGAATGCTCCACTGAAATATGAGATTGGTATTCGCTCTATAACAACTTTAAGACGATAGTGAATAAGTGATCTGATATTTGACAATCAAATGGAAGAAGAACTCAGTTAGGAACCATGAAAATTGTAGAAATAATGAGAAGATGCCAATGCACGAGGCGTAGAATCTGTACCTAATAAAGGAGGGACGGTTGAACTGATAATATATGAGCTGTGTAAGTCTACCACATTAAAAAATTTGAGAGAACGCAAAATTTATACCAACTAAAGGATCTCTACCATCGCAAGCTTAATTTTGAGAGAACACGCCAATGCAGGAGGTGTAGGATCTGTACCAACTATTACCAACTAAAGGAGGAATAGCTGAAGTAATAATTATGTGACCTGTAAGTCCTCAACATTGACATACCCAAGATCCAGCATAACTGGCAGAACTCTTGCACACTGTATTCAGAATGATCGAATCAATGGAACTCAGAAGAAAAGAGAAACAAGTTCTTACACCCAAAATGATCGGAAGGATATGCAGGCAGAAATGAACCATAACTTGCATTAGAGTTTCAATTTTCTCCTCAGCTAAGGATAAACAACTTTGAGGGAATAGAGCTACATCATATTTGTACTGAGAAGGATTATCTATATGTTAACAAGATTGGGAGTTCCTGGAGTCATTTGTAAATGGCAAAAGTCTGCAGGAATATATTGCTTATCAAAATGAACATATGAATAAATAAATGCAGGACTATATCGAATATAAGTTACAGCTTCTGGAATAACACCACAACAGCTATTATGTGCCCTCATGATCGCTATATGTGCTCCAGGTAAATGACTTACCATGAGGAGGTTGTTACCTACTATTAATGATCATTTTATGATACAGTTTACTCTGGTAGCTTAGTTTGATCCTCTTCCCATAATCTTCACTGAGATATACCTTATTTTTCTTATAGACCACACCCTAAGTTGTGCAATGAATGCAAATTAATGAAAAGATGAAATATCTCTTGAAAAGGAAATTTTATGATACTTCTGCTATGGAACTTCGTGAGAAAACTGATTAAAATTAGTACTGAAAGTGGTGGCTACTAACTTTTTGGATTTGAGAAACAGGTTTTTGACCTACTTCTTGAAAATATCGAAACAACTTTATCTTTGCGTTTATGGTCCTAGGTCCTCCATAGTTTTGTATAGATTTTGTTTCTTTCTAAGATAGCAGAAGACTTCTATGCTCTTCATGGTTCGTTACTATTATATGTTGTGTCATTCGCGTTGTTACCATAATACATTGTTGTTACTATTGTTTGCTACTTGTTGCTTTATCTCCACTGTTCCTTGAGCTGAGGGTCTATTGGAAACAGTCTCTCTACCTCTATAAGGTCTGCGTACACACTTAACCCCCCCTCCCCCCTCCCCGGACCCCATTTATGGGAATACACTGGGTTTGTTGTTGTTGTTGTTTAGAAGACGTCTATCCTCCATTTCAGAAAAGAAGACGTCTATCCCATTTAGCATTCTCATGATTCCAAAATCCTTAGATATAACTACAAATTTATTAAAGGACACTACATAAATAGCACTACTTGGCCAGAATTCTTTTCCATAAACTCATCCCTTCATGGTTGTTCCTAACCTAGTGATGCGGAATAAGGAGAAGTAGATTTCAATTATGTCTAGTAAATATTTGCTGCTACTTTTAATATAATTCAGATGTTTTGCATTTTTGCCATTTTGGAAGACCTTGCAGAATGCATATGTAACCTATAGAGAAGTGAGCTAATCCAACTAATCTGCTATTGAATTAGATATATAATAGGCTTGATTTCTTCTTTAGTTATGGTAGAGTTCGGTGCTATATCTACCGATTCATTCAAATAAACTGAGTGCATAGTATCTATCTGATCTTCCTTTCCACCATCATCATATAGAATGTCTAAGAATTTTCTTTAACCACTTGAATTTCCTAATATTAGTTATCTTTCAGTACGTATCTATGCACTTGATAATGATCATGATCTGCATTTGTCAATTTTTGCAGTAGAGCCCAAAAGGCCTGTTTAAGTTTTAGAACTCATGCCAAACACCTTTGAGTTCTGAAACATCATATTTTCAAAGGATTACCTGCTCTTAAAAAACAAGAAAATCCTGGAAAGAATTCTTCAATTTTCACAAGCTATTGCTTCTAAAATGAGTATTCAGTGCCTCCTTAACTTCCCTAAACGAAAAAAAAAGATTATATGTTATATTGCTTTAAAGTCACTCTGCTGGAAGGATTAAGAAGGCAACTTTCCCGTTTTCAAAGACCTTAACACAAAAATGAAATGCTCCATAAATTTTAGAGAGACAACTGCTTATGAGCAACTTTAGTAATTGGGACCTGCAATAGGTGTTCTCGTGGACTTTCTTCCTCTCCCACAGTATGCACTTTGCGGAGCTTTGTCAAACCTATCCATTCACGCATCATGTGATCTGTATATTCTTTTAGTTACTTGAAAAATGTGTAAATTGTTTAAAGTTAACATCATTTCTGGAATGATGATTCAAATCTTCCTTAAGTACCTCTCAAGTTTTTAGTGGGTAGATCATAAATCATTGATTAAGCCTTGAAGCTTCTTACAGGAATATATTTAACTGTGGTATCTAGGTATTTGCATATTTGTGAAGCTTTATTTGTAGTTTACTGCAATTTGGTCTCTGGTAATAATGCGGTTAACAAACCAATTTGCATGGTTTTATTTTCTTTAGAAAATATCTGGCAAAAATGCATCGGTTACTATAACTTCTTCTTTAATGTCTTCTACTTTATGTTGATCAAATAAAAGGTGTGCATTGCTATCAAGACGCCTTGGCATTTGTTTTATAAGCAAATGTACCATACAGTACTCAAAAGACTTCTAAGGATATGGTCATAAACCTGTTTCTTTATCCTAGCATTTGAGTTATGTGTCGATTTTGTGTTATTTCTTAGTTTTAACTTTTGCAAATTCTTTTCAGTACTTTCCCCCCATGTTTGCTCGATCAGTTTCACACCTGACTGATCAGGAAACTTATCTGGAGGACTCGAGTGGACAGAGATGGAGGGTAACAGTATGTGACCATAAAGGTTCACTTGCTATCCGACAGGGATGGCCTAAATTTTCATCTGAACATGGTCTGAATCTGGGCGATTTCTTGGTTTTCTACTATGTTGAGGGTCAGTACTTCATTGTTCAAATATATGATAAAAGTGGTTGTCAAAAGATCAAGTTCTACAGTGACTTCTGCAAAGGGAAAAGAAAAACAAGGACTTATCCAGAAAAAACTTCCCAGGTTAAGCTGCTTCAGACAACTGATATAAATCCAGTCAACAAAAGGAGTAAAATATCTGCTGTATCAGAGTCCGAAAAGGTCACATGCAAGGCACATATTACAAAGTTTGCAACGAACATTGATGCTGACACTGGGAAGGGACAATTAGTATATCCAGCTGTATACGTGGACGAATCGTTTTGTATGGTTGATAGAGATGCTCAATATCATCAAGGAGACGACAGGTTGTGCTTACATCTGTCAAGTTTTGAAATGCCAGCAAGCAAACCTCTTGCAGAAGGAACTAGCAGTCTTTTAAAAGCTGACGATGGAAATTCTAATCATGTTGAAACCAATTTAAGATCACAAACAGAACCAAATTTAGTAGTTGTTGCTGACTACTTAAATTCAGAAGAATTGTTGCCAAAGTTTGAGGCTGAAATCACGGGATCTGATATGGTACCAGCGGAAGATATTCCACTTTTGAGTCAAAAAGATCAAAATGATTGTCCAAGTGGTATTATCTCTTCTTCATTCTTGAAACCTGCTGCAAATGTCAACAAAAATGATGACGTATCAAATGTCACCAAATACCAAAATCATTGGATGAGTACTGACACTAGTTAGTTGCCTTTGCCCATTTCATTTTATCAATGTCTTATTATCCTTCATATAATTTAATTGACTCCGATTTGTTTTCCTCACCCACCTGATGAATATATTAGACTGTCATATGATGTTGCAATCTGACAACAAAGATGGTCGCTGCACAGGCATTAATCAAATTACTAGAGAGAAATCCAATGATGCATCTCAGTTCGGTAGGCTTCTGATCGCCTCAAATTGTTAGGAATCTTTTTGTTTTTGTTGTGTTGCATCAATATACATGTTAGGGATATGTCTATCTGAGTTGAGGCAGCAAAGGCTCAGCTATAGCTCGGTTTTGCTCACACTATGTTGAGCTTGTCCTCAGTCTTGAGCTGGTCTGAAATGCAGTCTCAAGTCGAGCTTAGATTCCATAAAGATCAACTTATAGGCTCGTGAGCACAGCGGAGCCTTTTGTTCTTTGTGGTGATTAATTGTATACCAAATTACATTACTGTCCTTAGTGTATGTGTTGGAAGACCCTAAATTTTGTTCTTTACTCGTCAGCTTCAAAAACTAATCCTCTCTTCTCCCAGTACTCATCACTATAAACCCTTCACTGGTATTCATCTCGTTGTCCTATCCATCTAACTTTCTCATGTTTTTCCTCGTAAACCTTTTCCGTGAAAATGTTGTTTCTACCCTCCATATTTGACATCATCAAAGATTTGGCTTCCACACTACGTTCACGCTAAGCAGTATCTATTTCATAATTAATTCCTTCGTTCGAAGCAACTGCTAGGTATTTTGTAATTCTAATTATATTTGAACTTGTAAATTCGTTTTTCTTGAACATGGGGAGAATATTTAAGAATATTGGGTGAAATATCCTTAATGGTATTGTCACAGCAATTTGGAATTCCCCAGAAAACTTGCTTCTCTTATATGTTGACATCCAATCTCATCGAAATTTTTTCTCTTTACTTGGTAACAGAGCCTCCACGATCTTGGTAGAGACTTAAGTAGTTTTCACCTATCAGCGCTTCACATTATCGATTCAGCCAGAATTTTCTTTTCTTTCAGTTGTACTATTCTTACCTTCTTTTGGTGACTGTTCCTGCTGCAAAACTCCTCTTTCCAATGACTGTTTTAGTAGCATCAGGCTTTTTTGTTAATCTTTCAAGAGGCACTATGTTTCTTCTTGGTAATTGCTCTGATAACGCCAAGTTTCTTTTTGGTCCATTCCATCTGGCTCCGCCTCTATACTGGCTATTCTTATAGCGTTTTTCTTGTTATTAGTCCAAAATATTTTTTGGTTACTCTTCAATTGTCAATTAAATCTAAGTCGATGATTTCATCCCAGTACCTCTTTTTGGTGTAAGAAGCACCTTTGGTTTAGGGTGTCCAATCACTGATGATTTTCAAGGCAAAGACTTACACCACCCTTTTCTTTCTGATGATTTGTTCGCTATTCCGGATGATTTTTTATATATCTTGTTTTCAAACTAAGCGGTAAGCAAACCCACTTTGAGTTTGGTGGTCTTGTTGAAAGTCAAAAGAATCATTAAGAATATTGTGTAAATATTCTTAATGATTATTTCCTAAGATTTGCATCTCAAGAATTAAAAAACTTCTTATTTCGTGTAATTCAAAATGGTAGAGTTCTTTTGAATGTTGTTAACTACCATCTTAAAGTTTTCTCTCTTCTCCAACTTGAAATTGTGATTGAAATTTGTTTTGGTGTTGATTTCTTGTTTGGCTTGAGATGAATCTAAATTGGTAACATGGTTAGTGAGGATTTATATAGCCGACACCAACTTGTTGGAGCTGAGGCATAGTTGTTGCCATACTGGATTTCTGGTGTCTTTTGGAAAGGGTATAATTAATTATTCTATTCGGAATTTTTGGACTCACACTTAAGAGTTTCAATATATGACCTAACTTATTTTGATTCCTTTTTATTGATTGTGCTAATGATGTCCTCCATGGTCTTTAAATGGTCCTTACTCCTCCCATCCCACAAGATAAGAGCCTTTCCTATCATATATGCCCCTTACAAGCNAGTAATTTTTTTGTCGACGAATAGTATACCAAAATTTTATAATCAAACTACGCAACATTTAGCTAAACAATAAAAAACAATTAATAGAATTATAGTTTTATACACCAAAATAAAAACGGAAAAGGGCCAAAAATGCCCTTGAACTATTAGAAATAGATCAATAATGCCCTCCGTTTACTTTTTGGCACAAAAAAGCCCTTACCGTTAATCAATTGGAGCAAAAATACCCTTCCCACCTAATGGAGCACCACGTCAGACAGCCTCAAAAACCAGAACCTTCCAATCACCTATTTCCTCCTTGAACAACTCTAACACCACCATCTTTTAGACATAGCAGTGACCTATCTTCCAACAACCATCCAAAAGAAGCCACCGATGGAACTCCACTGCAACGCCAGCCCTCTGCCATCGATTCACCTGCACATCGGTCATCTACAACTCTGAGCCTTAATCAACAACAAAAAAAATGATTGCACATGAAAGATACCAAACTGAAAACCTCAACAAAAGTCGCTCCACTTTAATCCTTTTCTGGTGAGAACTTCCGATAGGGGTGTGAAAGAAAAATGCTGTCGGGTAGCAGTGGTATCTCTGCTCCCTTAAAATAATTATAGATGATGGAGATGGTGAGAGTTGGTCTAATAAATGATGGAGAAGCGAAATATTTGGGAGTAGTCTTGGTCCCTCGAGAGAAATGGGAGGTAGCCGGTTGTTTTCCTTTTTATGGTGATTGGTGAAGGTGAATGTGGTAAATTTTGGACTGAGGGATTAAGATGAACAGAGGTGGAGGCATGGTGGATTTTTTGCTGATTTTGCTTTAGGTTTAGATAATGAATATGATATTTGAATAAGAAACAAAAAATCTGTAGCAATTTATTTAGTGGACCTTCAAAGCTTTCAGCGGCGGCAATGGCAGTCACTAGCAATTAGGTGGCAAGGGCATTTTTGTTCCAAACGGTAAGGACTTTTTTGTGCCAAAAGGTAAACGGGGGGCATTATTGATCTATTTCTAATAGTTTAAGGGCATTTTTCGCCCTTTTCCGAAATAAAAATAACAAAAAGACAACACTAGAAATTTTACTAATAAAAGTAAGCATAAAATCAAAGTAAAGAGAGTCGAGGGAATTTGTAGTTTGTAGAGAGCTTTTGTTGAAGAAATTTATGTAGAGCTTGACTTTTAAATTATAAAATTTATTTAAGAAATAACTTTTAGTTAAAAAATTACTTTTAAGATTACTTGTTTATTTCTACACAAATTTTAAGTTTTATGAGTTATTTTATTAGAATTTTTTTTAGATTGAAATAGAATCAAATAGACCAGAAATGGTGATCTCCGTTCAGTTTTGGCAAACAAAATGCGCAAAACTTTGAACCCGTGAACAACACGTCACTTTGGACGCCCTGAACTACTGGACTACCTTACTCAACTATGTCTAATATTATATATAACCATATAAAGTAGTCTTTAACTTATATACGCAGTATAATTTTTCGGTGAAGGGTGTGCGCTTGACCACCCTTGGCATAAGGTGGCTATGCCACTGCCTGAGGCTACGCTACTCTCCCTTGCCAGCTCACATCCACCTTCCTTAAGCCCATCCTGACCATCTTGCTGCTTCCAAAGTAGAACAAAACCCTTACCCTTTATAGAATTCAATCACATATCCGAAGTGCATCTTTTGTGCCACTCTTTCTTAGCCTGGATTGTAGGAGAAAATGATATAGGTCAAAAGTGGGAGTCTTTAGGCTAAGGAACAATTGAGTTGGTACTAAGGTTCCTAAAATTTTCGTTTTCTCTTGTTGTTATCCACTTCTTGAGAAGCTTTATTCTCAGTAGCACCCCTGAATGTAATCACCGAGGCTTTGCATGAGCTTCGAATCAACTCAATAGTGGCTCCAATGCGATAGGGTTAACTTTAAGACCAGTACAATGATGAAGCAATTGGCCCTGTGTATAAAAAGGGATTCAATCAAAATTTCGGTCATTCATTAGGGAGATAGATATGACTCGCTCCCCCTAAACAATCATTCTCGCCTTTCCTAGCTGGATTGGTTAAATTGGGAATAGGAATTAGAAGTTTTGGCACAAAATTGCTGGTTTTAATTTAGGCGTGGTCAAACTTCTCAACCTTGAGCTTTTTTCGTTTCCTGATGGAGCTGAAGTTGAGCCAGAAATTTTGAGCTGTATGAAGCTCAGCACCGTGCCTGATTACCTCTAGTCAACCCTGGCTGGTGTTTGATCGGCTAGTATATATCCTTATATTGTGACTTTATTGGATTTTTACATGGTAAATGTTTTTGCCACATGAAGCAAGGGAAACAAGACTAGTCAAGAAAGAATTTGAGGAGACAGCAGCAAAAGCATATTATCCTGCTAGAGCAATAAGTGGTATGCTTTTTATTTCATTCTTATATAGTTTTACAACTTATTTGAACTTTGATTTCCTTTTCCCTAGCTTCACCGTGCCTGATTACCTCTAGTCAACCCTGGCTGGTGCTTGATCGGCTAGTATACATCCTTATATCGACTTTATTGGATTTTTACATGGTAAATGTTTTTGCCACATGAAGCTAGGGAAACAAGACTAGTCAAGAAAGAATTTGAGGAGACAGCAGCAAAAGCATATTATCCTGCTAGAGCAATAAGTGGTATGATTTTTATTTCATTCTTATATATTTTTACAACTTATTTGAACTTTGATTTCCTTTTTCATAACTGCAAATTGCCATTTGCATGTTTGTGCTGTGCTTTGACTGCCTTTGAGCATCTTCTTCCTGCTTTCTGTTGTGATGTACAAGATTCAGGAAAGGAGCCAGCAAATGGTAATGAAAAAGTCATCAAAAGTGAGCCTGCTGATTCAGGAGACATGCCATCTCTTACGGCAGTCAGCTATTCATGTTTGCTGGAGGTCGATGGTAGAGATTTTCTGGTAACAGCTTGTTTAAGTATCATTTGTTTCTCCATCTTGCTGAATTGCAGTAATCCTATTGTCTGATGCATTCTCTGTGAATATTTCTCAATATTGGCATATATACTGCTTAAATTTGTACAGTCTCTTGAATTTACCGCTGAAGATGCATGCATTTTGACATTCTTTTCATCAAAGTTTTGCATTTGATAAGATGTTATAGAGGAAATATATGTCTTTGTCAGGACAACTTTGGCTTAAACACCATAAAATGTTTTTACAAATTCATGAAGATCGAAGAGAAGTGATGATTACTTTGTAACTCAAATATTGAAAAAGAAAAATACATAAATAATAAAATGATGACTGCAAGCCCATATGCTGGATTTAGATTAAACTTTTCTCTTTTTCAATGTTTAAAGTAAGCATCTTAAAATCACACTGGACATATAGTAACTTATTATTATTACTTTGATCAAGTATAGCTATGTTTCAAGCTTAGCGTCTATGAAGCAGGAGATGCCAATGATGGCAGAATTTCTTTAAATCTAAAGTTAATGAGTATATTTTGTGATTATAAATGTCCTTGAATCATGTTGAGGTATGATTTTCTTGAAATAACTGAATCAATTGGTAAATAATGGACAGTTCTCTTTATAATCCTTTTTTGTCAGCAAATGGCTGATTTCAACTCTTACAAATGTGCAGTCAGTGCAAACATTTTGTTAGATTTCTCTTTGGAAAAAATAGATTGTGCTTCTTTGATTTATAGTGTTAAAAAAGAGGAAGATGTCATATAGGAGCATCAAAGTTTATATGAAACAACACCTACATTACATTGATCTTTGATAGTTCCAGCCCTTTCATCACCTGAAAACCATGTGAAGCAGCAGTTACATTGCATTGCTGTTTGTGAGTTCCAGTTTTGTAGTAACCTGACCACTGTGTTCGTTCTTTTCTAGTGTAATTTCAGGCATATTGCCTAGTCTTTGGAGAATCTAGTGCGCTCTACGCTGCAAATTAGTTCTTGTACTTGGCTGAAGTTCTCTTTGTTTCCCAATATGTATATCCGTTTTATCTCCTTGAATTTAGGCCCCGTTTATGCCTGTGCAGGAATTACCAGAATCCTGGCGAAAATATTTAATGAAAAAGGCAAAGCTGGAAAGGTGGATTATTTTTCTATGAGGACCGGATAAAAAAATCTGGCCAATCCTCTATCATCGCAGATCAGGTGTTGATGTTTTGACAAATGGATGGAAATTTTTTGCTGCAGCTTATGGCCTGAATCGTGGAGATGATTGTCTTTTTGAACTTGAAAATCAGCTTGAATGTATATTTGCTGTACGTAAATTGTAAAAGTAAGATGCCAAAAGAACTACTTGGAGCCAATTATCTAGAGCAGTTACAAGAGGAATGAAACAGGAGCTATGCCCAGATTCTTATTTATGGTTTTTGAACAGCATTCAGTTGTTGCCTGGCTGGGTCATAACTTGATTACTACTCATCATTTTGAAGTTGCAGTGTATTTGCAACTATGATGTTAGTACTCATCACAAATTATCATTTGGACGTTTGGATTATTTTGAAACTCTACTCTTTCGAGTCTATTAGCATGTATGTTTGAAAATTTTCATATCTGAGGCCATCCATATCGCGGCCATTGAGACGCGTAGGAGGAAATATGTCAAGGGATCCTCACTGATTGTTTCCTCGCCAAAGCTAAGAAAGTTTTCATTTGCGAGATCTCTGTCTAATTACAAGACATATGTTGAGCAGCATCTCTATAATGAGATTGGCCAACTCGGACTCAGGAACTCCTAACCGTTCACTGAGCATTGTAATTCTTCGAAGAGAAAATTCATAATCTATGTTATTTCAAGGAAGCGTGCTCCCTCTTTAGGTTTTATGGTTAAAATAGCATAGGCTAGCCATTTTTTTTAAAATATCTAGTTTCTGCCATTTCAAGGAAGCGTGCTCCCTCTTTAGGTTTTATGGTTAAAATAGCATAGGCTAGCCATTTTTTTTAAAATATCTAGTTTCTGCCAAGTCATTGAAAATAGTCACTGTTTTGCCGAAACATGGAAAGTTACAGCATAATACACTAGATTATGGAGCGTCAGCGTACAGGAAATTCCAGTATAAAATGTTGGATTATGTAACTCCTGCGTATAAACTTCCAGCATTAGCATATTATGAAATTCCAGCGCATTATGTTGAAATTTCATGCGTAGAAAATTTGAACTCCAGCATATTATGTTGGAATTTTTTAAATTTTTAAGGGTAATTTTGTTCATATTTTATCTTTATCTAAAAAAAATTGCTAAATTTCGATTACTCTTGAAACCGTGGCTATTTTTCAATTAACATTTGTAAATTTGTCTATTTCTTTTTTTTTTTTTCCCGATTTTATGTAGTTTCTTTTCTATGAAACACATAGGCAGAGTGACCTATCCTATAACTAAACAACAGAAAAACAGTATTTAGACTCTTCGCCAACAATAAGAAAAAAGCAACAAACTGTGTCCAATGATCAGAAAGTTACACTGCAGGAGGGAGAGAGATGAACACAGAAAATTATCAAAATCTTGATACTTGACACAGAATAGCTGAATACCACAAAGCCTAAGATGCACAGGCGCCCTTGAAAGATCAATCTATCACATCTTGCCTATTTTCCAACTGGAAAATTTTTTTAAATTGAAAAGGTGATCTTTCACGGTGGCCTGTGCATCTGCTATCACTACATGAAATAAAACAAAATCTACTTCCAATCCAAATGAACTACTAAATTACATTGACGAACTATCAAAATATCAAACAATTTCAATATTCTGATCTGCAGTGGCAGCTGACACTTGATTTTGCTCCTTCACCACCATCTTCCTCATTCTCATCAACCACTTGACCCAACAAACCATACTATCATACAAACTTAACGCAATGTACACTCCAATTCCACCAATAATACCATTGGAAATTGAGTATGTCAAAGGCATTAAAACCATAGTCACAAATGCAGGCACTGCATCCTTAATATTATTCCAATCAATATCCTTAACAACTTTCATCATCAACACACCAACCATTACCAAAGATGGACCTATAGCCCAAGGTGGTACACTAGCAATCAAAGGTGTAAAAAACAAAGACAAAAGGAAATAAAATCCAACGATAATAGCCGTTAGTCCCGTCCTTCCACCTTCTTTAATCCCAGCTGATGATTCTACAAATGTGGCTATAGGTGAAACTCCTAGAGTTGATGCAACTATTGTTGATCCTGCATCTACCATATATGCTATATATTCACCTTCAAATTCTCCTTCTTCATTAACAAATCCACCAATTTCAGCCATTGTATATAATGTACCTGTTGTAGCTAGTACATCTATGTATAACAATGTTAATAACGCCACCCATACTTCACCATTATTAAAATGGCTAAAATTAATGGCTCCAGCTGTGGACTCAATTTTATGAAAATCTACAACTTTTTTAAAGTACTCATAACTTGAGTTACCTGTTGGTGTGTTAGGAAAAATTGTAACAGCAGTATTCCTAAACCAAGAAACTAATGTCACAAATAAAATACCATATATCATACTACCTTTAATTTCCTTCATTAGTCCATAACACATTATTATAAACCCAACTGAACTTAACCAGAAAGTTGGGCTTTGCATTTTCCCGCCGGTGCATTCTCCGGTCACCGGATTTGTACTAGAGCAAGCAGTGAGGGTCAATAGAGTAGATGGATCTGGGCCGACTAGGCCCACTCCTTGATGGGCTTGTAGGCCCACAAATGCAATAAAAAGCCCAATACCAGCCGCACAAGCTAGCCTAACGGGCTGAGGAATAAACCGGGCTATTCTCCCACGAAGCCCAAATACAGCTATAGCAAGAAAAGCACAACCTTCAACTAAGAAAATTGCCATAACAGTTTGATATGACATTTTTCCTGACCCATGAAATCCCACTAAATTATAAGCTAAATAAGCATTTGGGCCCATACCTGGGGCCAAGCCCAAAGGAAGATTAGCTAATAAACCCATAGCAAATGACCCAATCATAGAAGCTAAAGCAGTAGCAACAATAAGATCACTTCTCATTTTGGAAATACACTTTTCATAACCTTCATTTGGTTTCAACATGCAGTCTGGGGTTGCACGTGTTTGGTTCGCCGGAAAAGTGCAGTCGGAAACGGAGCAAGTGCCGCCGGAATCCGTTAAAACGCTGGCGTTGACGGTGATGATGTAAGCCATTGTAAGAAACGTGGCCGTACCAGCACGAAACTCTTTAGTAAAAGAACTTTTTCTAGCTTCCAACTTGAAGTATTTGCCAATTCTACTCTTTGAAATTGCTTCGTTTACTTTCATCTCCATTTTGTTCAAAGATTTTCTAAGTCTAGTGAAAGAACCAGTTGAACAGAGCTCTCTCCCCATATCTTTTTCTCACTTTGGTTTTGTTTTTTGTTTCTTTGCCAATTCTACTCTTTGAAATTGTTCACCAGTTGAATGTTTATAAGGGAGAAGATGAGAGGAAAAGAATTGTAATTTAGTGTGAGATTGTAGTAATTTAAGGAATGAAACAGTATGGGTATTTTAATATATGAGATAATTTGAGTCATGCGGGCTGACGGGTACAGATTTTGTTAATTGTTATGTGGTCATTATATTATAGAACAAAAAGTAATAAAATTCATGTCTTTTAAGGTTGTTTTTAGTGGGTTAGTATGATTATTATCGTGGGCGGACCGGGGTCACCGACACCCGTAAAGTTCAGCAAAATTTTATGTATACATGTATATGTCTTTAGAAAATAATAATATATTAGTATATGACACCCTATATACAAACTAAATTTTGGTTGAATCAAAAAGTGCACCCGCAATATTCAAATCCTGGGTTCGCCTCTGATTATTATGGTACACCGCCCCTCCATAGTTCTTATATGCAGCGACAAGTGTAAGAAAAATTTAAATCGCCAATGTATTTTAACATGTATGAAAAATTTATATCGCCAATGTATTTTAACATGTGAATAACATACCTAGTGTGATTCTATAAGTGTGGTCTGGAGAGGTTGGGATGTAAGCAAACGTTACTCCTACCTTATGTGAGATAGAGGGGTTGTTTCTGATAGATCATGGGTCGAAGAAAAATGTTTTAAAAACAAGTTTGACTGTTTTAACATGTCAATTACCTCATTTTTCCAACTCGCTAATGTAATTTGTTATAGACAGTTACATGTGCAATTATTTACCTATATAAAAGTTTTTTTACGCTATCAATCATCTCCCTTGGAAATGAAGGCATGCGCTAATTTTGTTGAGTTCTGGTGTTTGTTAAATTAAGAACAAAGAAATGTCAAATTGTAGTCTTTATTAGAGCTTAATTTGCACGGGATCAACTTGTAGTCTTGTTGACTGTTGTCTTTATAGTTTACATGATTTTATGGATAAAATGCTACTAGTAATTATAAATCTAATCTGAGTATACGCACTGAATTCAAAGCCAAGAAAGATCTTTGACTAGTAGGTGAATTATCACAATTTGCATAACGATTAACGAGAAAGGTATAATGATTTTCCTACATATGTTTTTAAGCATTCCTTTACTTAATCCAAGCACATCTC